AGATATATATATATATATATATATATATATATATATATATATATATATATATATATATATATATATATATATATATATATATATATATATATATATATATATATATATATATATATATATATATTTGCATAGAAATCTAACCAAACTACAAAGTTATATGATTAATATGCTAATATTTAAAATTTACTAGTAAATGGACTTTACAAAAATATAACACAATAAAAATAAAAAGTTTAATATTAAAAGTATTTCATTTAATTTGTAGTATTAGGCAATGCAAATTTTTTATTGTTATTAGATTCAACTAATATACATTCAAGATCTCACGCAAACTCGTATAAGCAGTTAGTTGATGGCAATCGATGTGTCCGAGTAAATCAAATATAACATTGAAAAGAAAAAAGAGAGTAAAACTCTCTTGAATATATCTCCCCCTACTTTAAATATTATTAGAGTTGTAAAGTACAATAAAAATATAAATATCAAAAAAATATATATAAATATCAAAAAAAGTATAAATATTAAAAAAAAGTACAATAAAAATATTATCGATTTAAAAAAATACAATTGGATATGAACAATATTAAAGAAGAAAACATAAAAAATATATATATATATATATATATATATATATATATATATATATATATATATATATATATATATTAAAAAAAGTACAATAAAAATATTATCGATTTAAAAAAAAATATACAATTGGATATGAACAATATTAAAAGAAGAAAAAATAGTCATTATAGGAGGTAAGAGTGTTGGTATTACGAGGAATTATCATATATTATTGTATTTGTACTTAAAATTTAATATTTTAACACAATTTTTAATTTTTTTTTTTCTGAAAATATATATATTCTGAAAATCGTACAAATCGTAAAAATCGTAAATCGAATCGTAAATCGTAAAAATCGAATGTAAATCGTACGATTTTTTAAGATTTCCGATTTATTCAACGATTTGAATCGAAAAGGATTCAAATCGAATCGAATCGTACGATTCAAATCGTAAATCGTACGATTTTGATAACAATGCTTCCAAGTTCTAAATTGAATTCCCAATCGAATAATATAATCCCAAAATGTACTCCAAATCTTGTAAATTATGACATCATAAAATTTTAATTTACATAATTTTATTTACCTGCACATAAGGGTAGAAATCGGAGGAAATGCATTGAAAATGGCTTTTCGCAAAAAAAATCCAAAATTTTTATTCGGAAGTAAAAAATGGGTTCCAATTTCCGTTCCAAAAAAATCGGAATGCGAAAATTCATTCCGATTTTGGAATGCCATGGAATCGGGCGAATTTTAGAAATTTTGGAAATTACATTAGTTTACAATCTCTTGTTTCAAATTCGGATATAATGGAAATTTTCGCAATATTTTTCTATTTTTTTGTTTATAATTTTGCAGAAAAATACAAGAAACTCCAAAAGAAAGTTCGACAAAATGCAATAAATAAAAACACATGTAAGAACAACAAATTGAAACATTGATTTTCTTATAAGGAAGAAATGTAACATTAAGTTTATGATACAAATTAATTTTTCTAAGGTCTTAAAATTTACTTGACCCTTCGGTATTTATATTTTTGATATAAAATATAACATAAGTTATATTATGGAATTACAAAATATACCATAATTATATTATTTATTTCGAAAAAAACATACAAATATTTGGAACTAAAATCGGATCACAAATCGGATTTTCTAGTACCATTCCAATTCCGGTCTAAATAAATTCGGAAGAATTGGAAATCATAATGAAAAATACAATTTCCAAATTTGGATATATTGATATCGGAATTCCCAGAATTCGGAAATTCTATTCCGATTTCCACCCCTACATGTGCATAAGTATTAAGATAACTAGCTAAATGCCCCCAAATTCTGAAACGCATACAAATAAGGACAAACATACTCTCATATTTTGCAATAGACCCTTACAACTAATTAATTCAACTCTAATTCTATTCACTCACACCTTAAGTATCTTAATCCAACTTTGAGTACAAAGCTTAATTAGTTAATAATTCAACTTAATTAGGTAATTCAACACCTGAATTTGCTAAACAATTCTATGATGGAAAAAAAACATACATACATAAAATTCATTAGTGTACCAAATTAAAGACAAAAAAAAACAGAGCAACATAGTCCAACAATTCTAGAGAGAGAATAAGGCGTTGAGGATTGGTTTTTTAACAGCTACGGTTATTCCCATAAAAACCTATGCTCTTGAAAAAAAACACTAGGGGGTGGGGTGGGGGTAGGGTGGGGGGTGGGGGAGCAATTTAAATATTATTATTTTATTACTAACATTTGCAAAAAAAAATGCGTCAAAGAAGGAGATTGAGTCTAGTTCACGCCAATTGTTTCTCTCTCTAGCTCCTCTCTCTCTCTAAAACATATTTTCCCAATATTTTATTCCCACACCCCTTCCTTCTCATCAACATCTCGATTTACTATAAAACAAGTCTCACTTCTAATTTTCTTGTACTAGTGGTTTCTTGTTCTTGTACAATATCAAAATACATACATAAATACATACATGTATACATACACACATGTGTCTCTATATATATACTTGTCCACTTTTTTTGATGGTTTATTATAAGAGCTAGGACTATAGTGCACGACTTTCAAGAACTCATAACCACTTAGTTTTTTTTTTCTTCCTTTCTTTTTTTTTATTTATTTTTTATTAATGGAGAAACTCAACCCCGTGAAAAATGGTGGTGCTCTGAGATTGCCACCTGGATTCAGATTCCACCCCACTGATGAAGAGCTCGTGGTACAATACTTGAAGCGCAAGGTCCAATCATCCCCCTTGCCTGCTTCTATTATCCCACATGTTAATGTCTGCAACTCTGATCCTTGGGATTTGCCAGGTTTCTTTTTTTTTTTTTTTTAATTAATTAATTTTTTTGAGCAATTATAATAATAATAATTTGGTAAACAACAGGTGATTCAGAGCAAGAGAGGTATTTTTTCAGTAAAAGAGAGGTGAAATACCCGAATGGGAACCGGTCGAACCGGGCCACCGGGTCGGGTTACTGGAAGGCAACCGGGTTGGACAAGAAAATTGTGAGCTCCAAAAATAATGAAGAAATAATTGTAGGGATGAAAAAGACACTTGTTTTCTACAGAGGGAAGCCTCCAAAGGGCTGCAGAACTGACTGGGTTATGCATGAATTTCGCCTCACTACTCAACAAATACAACCCAATAATTTATCCCTCCAGGTAATCAATTCTTTTTTTTTTTTTTTTTATAATTTTAATCCATAATATATAAATTAGTTGCACCTCGATAAATTAATACCCTCGTTTAAATAGTATTTTTGTCGGTTCTAATTTGGTGGGAACGTGGTAAATTATTAAGTCGATAATTTAATATTTCGCCGAATTAATATAATTTTTCTAGTCCCGACTGTATTAATTTATTGCAGTACTGAGTGAATGGGTTAAATTGCAGGAGAATTGGGTACTTTGCAGAATAGTATTGAAGAGGAGGAATAATAAGAAGAATGGTGATGACGTGGATGCGAGTAATTCGGGTCGGGTTTATTACGATTTTATGGGGAAGGAGAGGGATGCTGATTTGACGAATTCGAGTTCGGGTTCGAGTGGGATTACGGAGATTTCGAACCGAAATGAATCGGATGATAACGAAGAAAGCAGCAGCAGTTGCAGCACTACTTTTAGAAGGAAGGAATTTCCTTAAATGAAATGGATAAAAAAAAATTATCCACTAATTAAAATTTAGATTTTCTTCAGGCAATCAATCATCAATCCCTTTTTTTTAAGATTAATAACCTTTGAACACCTCTGTCACTTCTTGAGAAAATGGAAAGAACAAAAAGAAAAAAAAACAGAGGAGAAGGGGATTTAAATGGTAGTTTAAATTGTTTTTTTTTTTTTTTTTTTTTTTTTTTTTTTTTTTTTTTTTTTTTAAAGGGGAGGTTAAAAGGGGATTTGGGTGTTGTTTTCTTGCACTAATTCCCCCCCTGTTGTCCCCACAATCTTTTTACAGTTTTACTGTTTCGCAACCATAAAAAGGTAATTTTATTTTTCTGCTATTAAGTTACATGCAAAAGCAATAAGATTGGAAGAAAAGTTGTGAGAAAAAGTTCAGTTAAAGAGGGAAAAAGAGGGTGACGACCATGTGCAAACATTCAATTCTAGTTTAATACATAGACTTTGATCTTTTGTCTAAAAGAAGGGTAAAAGGGGTAAATTGCAGCAGCGGATGAAGTCAAATTACGAAAAAACTACTTATGTTTGGATAATTACAGTCACTCATCAATTATGAATTTTCTTATACTTCCATCTTGGGGTATCAAATTCAGTGGAATTTTCTAGATTATGTGGAATATTCTCCACTTTGTTCCCGTTTTACTCCATTCGAGCACCACGTTTTGAGAAAAGATTATCATAAGATGTGTGTCTCTCTTAGCTTGTAAATATCAGTGTATTTTTGCACAAAAACGAGTACAAACTAAAAAACATTCAACGAAATCTACTAGATTACGTTGAATTTCGCACCATAAAGGTGGACATTAAAGAAGACTCCTAGTTTGAGGGATGGTTGTAATTACTCAAACATGAGGGATGTTTTCGTAATTTGACCTTACCTCAAGGGGTGGCTGTAATTTACCCGAAAAAAGACATTCACCAAGAACAAAAATACAAACGGTCGTCTAGATATTACATCGATTGTAGTTAATGTGTAAAATACATATTTAATATAAACCCAAGGTAAACGAATGAAGTTTACTAGATAGTAAATCACCGTGGATCTGCATACAATCATACACATATATATACTAATATATATACACGTGGATACGTGTAAAACATGTATTGGACGATGCATATACGAATAAACCAACAAGAACATAATCTTGGCAAAATCAGTGTATCGTTTTCGAATGAGGTTCACAAGAACCTCAAAAAGGCAAATTTTATAAGGAATCAAATTCCATGTCTCTCAATCACTGTACAATCTCAATTTTAAACCTCGAAATATTTTCGAAAATTGCCGAAGAAAGAAGCTTTTGAAAATACAGCAAAATTCTTGAAAACCAAACAATTTTTCTTTCTTGCAAAAATTAATTCTTGCAAGTAATTAAATTACTTCATTTTACAAACAAATTTGATTGGCTAAGGTAAGCTGGTTTATCAGTTTCCTCTGGGCCATGTTTGGTAGAAAAACAATAACAAGGATGAAGCCAAAAAATTCCTGAAAATCATCCAACTGCTATATTAAACTATGACTTGTTTTTTTTCTTTTTTTTTTTTTTTTTTTTTTTTTATATATAATATTATTAATTAATTAATACAAGAAAATTGACCTAATTAAGCACGACAAGGTATTTTTATAATCATTACTTAATTAATTAAAATGGTCTTTCATGTTACGTACAAGCATCATCTGACATGCAGCGGCATCGTATGTATAAGCACAGTAGTGGTTGACCTCACCTCCACCACGCTCCTCTTTAAAATTTACTATTCTTTTTTTTTTTTAAGACAAAAAAAAAAAAAACAATTATACTTTTGTCCTAAGTTCTTTTTTATTAAAATCTGACTGTATTAGATTCTGATCTAATGTTGCTATCTAGCAGGTTTTATTGATGATTTCAGGCTGTTTAAATTAAAAGACATTTTTATTTAGCGTAAATTACGACCATCCCTACTGAAAACTCTATTCTATTTGGATAATTACAACAATTTCCATCAACTGCGTATTATCTTGCACATACATTCTTAGTGTCAAAGTATAAATTTACATACTGAAAGATAAGTTTTTTCGTAAGAGAAGATTTTTTTTTTACAAACAAAAGAAGTATTTTTCGTAATTTGACATTATTTCATGGAGTTGGCCGTAATTGGGCCTAATAATAATATGTGATTGATGATATCATATTAAGTAAAAAAAAATTGTAGAGAAGGTGAAACACACAGGTCCTGCCACGTGGACGCAGGAGAGATTATGGGCGGCGTATAATAAGTAAAACACAATTAAGAGTGTGATTTGTCTATAATCATTAATTTAATTGACATGCCATTACAACAAGGAAAGAAACCCTTGTATCTATCTATCTATCTCTCTCTCTCTCTCTCTCTATATATATATATATATATATATATATATATATATATATATATATATATATATATATATTGTATTCATTAAAAAAGCAAAAACATATAGATAGAAACAGAAGAAGAAGAAGAGGAAGAAGTATAAAAATTGCCGACCAGAGTTCCTTGTGACAGTGGTACAGAATTATATAAAGGCCTTGTTGAAGTTCTTCACGTCACCCATTCTATAAATACATATCACTCTCTCCACGCAACTCTTTTTTTTCATGTCATTTTATCTTTTTAGTAAGATTGGCTATTTTCATACGCCTCTCTTTTTCATATCTCATTTCCTTTTCTCTTTTCCAATAATATTAATAAAAAAAAATTAAAAAATATATATGTAGTCACACCCCAAAGTTCATTAGACACAAGAAGAGCCCCTAAACTCAATTTACATCTCCAATCTGGTTTACAAACTATTACACGAAAGCGTAGATAAACAAAAAGCCTCTAAATGAAAAAAAAGTAGATCATATAGTTTTTTTATTATTTTGTAATGAAGGAACTGACAGACGACCGTATAGATTTAGGCCTCGTTTGGTTGCCAGAATAAGATTAGCCAAGATAAGATTGAATAATCTAATGAAACCCAAATTTATTATTGGACCTTTCGTGATCCAATAAAAACGTGCCTAGAAAGCAAGATAAGCCATGATAACATAATATTTGTGGGTCGCCCTGTATAGATTTATGCCTCGTTTGGTTGTCAAAATAAGATTAGCCAAGATAAGATTAAATAATCTAATGAAACCCAATTATATTATTGGACCTTACGTGATCCAATAAAAACGTGCCTAGAAAGCAAGATAAACTATGATAATATAATATTTGCGAATCGACCTGACAAGTTATTGGGATACCAAATAGCAAACAAAGTCCTATTATTTAGTTAATCATGGCTAATCTCCCTAATCAAACGGGCCTTACTGGATTAACCTGCATTCTCGTATAATAGCTTGTAAAGTAGATTATATAATTGGGGTATGATCAGATTGACCAGAAGAGAAATAATTGATGCACATGAACACTTAATATAAGTTTTTTAAATTGTTTTGAGACAGCCCTTAGTGGTAGACCACACACACACACAAGGAAAGTTTATACTTTATAGCATCACCTGATTAGGTCAATCACTAATTGAAGAACCCCACCACTCTTGAAAAATGTATGGTATTGAGTACTCTGTAAAGATATGGGGGGAAGGGCATTTTGGGGTTTTCCACAATACAATGGGAGTTGCAGGCAGGGAGTTGTGAATAAATTTTGCTAATTATGTAAGTTGAACAATATAAATAGGAAGGGCATTTTGGGGTTTTCCACAATACAATGGAGGTTGCAGTCAGGGAATTGTGAATAAATTTTGCTAATTATGTAAGTTTAACAATTTAAATAGCAACCCACTTGCAGTGTTTTTTTTCCGCAACAAAATAAAAATAAATGGCAAATTACGAAGGAAAAAAAAAACCATTATGTTTGTGTTATTACAACCATACCCTCAATTACGCATTGTCTTACGAAAAAACCCCTAATTCAATAGGTAAATTTGACTTCGTAAGGCTGTACATGTAAGATAATATATAATTGAGAGGGGTGGTCGTAATTACCGAAACATGAGGAGTTTTTTGTAATTTGACCTTACTTCAGGGGGCTGGCCGTAATTTGCCCAAAAATAAATGAAAAATAAATAAAAGAAGGTTGCTTAGAATCTATGCAACAATGACACAAGATTTTGGGTTTGGAAACATTCAAATAATACGGCCCCTCATCAAATAAATACTAACAAGTCTACCCCAAAAACAAAGTGTAGGTGTTAAAGATGTGGGCCCCACCTTCAATTTTGAACTGAAGGATTTCACACGCTGCCTCCTTATATCAACCAAACTCATTTTGGATTCTAATTTCACAATCAATAATAATAATAGTATATAATACCACTAGTTTTATTCTGTCACACAATCACACACATAATTCAACAGATATGATAAGTAATCCTCACCGTTAGCTTTCTAATGCCGCCGGAACCAGAGACCCCTCGACTGCGATCGAATAGCAGCTCCAGTTTTCACAAACGAAAAACGTAGAACAATATGGCTTATCAAGTTCATTATTGCGCTGTATTTTCTAAAATCCTAATTCAAACTTTCTATGGAGAAAGGGACTGACATGGAATTTCAGACTTTGCCATATCCGTAATGGACCACATATTAAATACGAAGATTCAGTATCATCCTTAATACGATTTATGACCCGCGAAAAAAAAAGAAAAAAAGAAAAAATCGCTTTCATAATCTAAATACAAACTTGCTTCCAACCATATATGTATAGACAAAGCCAATCAACAATAAAAGGATCACGTAATTCTGAAAATAGGGAACACACAATTAAAAAATATAAAATAAAAATAAACCGCATATGCAAAGCTAAATTTTCTTTATCGTGCATGAAAGCGAATGGAAAAGTCTACAAAGCAAGTCGAAAATTTCAAATAAAGATAGCAGTACACTTTACGCATAATGTTTTCGCAATTTCTTTGTGCCTAGTCGGAAAGTCTAACAGAGGGTTGATTTATTTGCTTACTCATTTCTCGCTGGCAGCAATTTTTTCAGCTTGAGCATGCAACGTTTCTGTGGGCGACGGCTCGGAGCAGGCCCTCAAAACAGCCTCGTTCTGTAACGAAAAATATTATCAGACATTCGTTCAAGATACTGATGCATAAGTCACCAAAACCGAATAAATAGTAAACACTTAACAAAAAAAGGTCAATTAAAACTCAAATTCATCGCCCAACACAAATAGTGGACGCTCTCCAATGAATTATGGAGTTTTTACGATGGGATTCGAACTTCAATAATACTTGGGTGAATTTCAAATTGAGATTACTCGACTTAGCTAAGTTTAAAATAATTGGAAGTAGTTCCTTTACTTGTTTATTTGTATTCCCTCAAAGTACATAAACATATCTTGGATCGGTATGTGCCATTCGAGACAATTACTAAAAAGGCGTACACTTAGAAGAATATCACATTAATTAACACATAACTAGCTGAAGAATAAAAGTTTCAGTGTAGTAGTATTCTGATGAAACAGGAATATTTCTATTAAACAGGCTATTTTCACAGCATAGAAATTTCTAGTGAACTTCAGATCGGTAAGCCTAAAATATCAAATGAAGACTCAATCTGGTGGAACCAATGTAGTCAAAATCGAGATCTAAATCGTAAAATCGTAAGACTTTAAGATTTTACACACTGTAAAGGAGTAAGATCGCACTAAAATTGCAGGTGCCTTAAAATCGTGTGAAATCGCATTCAAAATCGTTAAAAACGCGATTTTAGTGCGATTTTGGCGATTTTGGTTTTTGTCAAGAATTGGGCTGAAATTTTGGATTTTGGCCTCATAAATGCAGTTTTTTAACTAAATGTTTTTAGCCAATTACCAAATAATCCAGAATATATAAAGCTCGGCCCTGCCCTAAAATAACAATCTATCACGACGAGAAGAAAATACTTCTCTTCTGCTAAAAAAATATCCAGCGGTTGTGAGTGTCAGTTTCAGTTATCTCCTAACACAATTTATGTTAGACTATGTTTAATTAATGTTAAAACACGTTTTGTTAATGTTGGGATGTTATATATTTGTTAGGACATATTTTATGTATATTATGACTTATTGTATTTGTGTTACGGATTTTCTAAGTAGTAAGTACTAAATATATTTATTTTACAATACATGTAAAGTCTTACGATTTTACGATCCGATTTTACGTTTCCGATTTTACTACCCCTCTCCGATTTCACTTAAAATCCCGATTTTGACTACCTTGGGTGGAACCGATGTTTCATCCAAGTAAATGCTATAAGTCAATCGGAATTTACTGAATTTTGGCTGTATGGCACTTTACTTCAAATGATGGAAGGCGGAATGAAAAATCGAGAAGAAAAACATTAACACTAGTGAGTAACTAAAGATGATCCTCATGCTTTCGTCATCACTATTGTCATCGCTAGAGTTAGTATCAATAATTCATTATTATTAATCTATATAGCACGGAAATTTCAACTTCCTAACGTTTCCACGTTTCGTACACATTTTGTGTTCAACAATCGAGGACACCTGTCGGAAACCTTTATGGGCCATTTTGCAATTTCTAAAAAGTTGAAAACATGTTTGAATAGCAAATTTTCAGATATTTTTGCTACTTCCCTAATTAATTACATGATTTATTGATCAACTACAAATTTATAAATGTTTATGTAGCATATTTATAAATATACCTCTATACTTTTAATATTTATACGTTTCCCCCAAGTTCCCGCACCCTCTTTTTTCGAACATGTCGTTTCCCCGTGCCTGTTACCCTAGTTTCCCGTATCGTCGTTTCTGTGTCCGTGTGACATAGTTATTAATACTATGTATGGATTGAAAAAAAAATCTAAAATATGGCAGTTTTCCTTATTTTTAAGGTGCACATATTTTATGATGTATTCCTAACATGTACGTAAACAATATATTTCAACCATCCGCGAATCCCCAAAAGCATTGTACAGTAGTAACCTCAGTAAAGGACTAAACTTGTGTCATTGAATACCCAACTCGGAATCCAATTCCACTTCCACAATGTAGTTTTCACCAACGAAACACGAGCATAATTTCTGCCGTTTGCAATGACAACTCTAAGATTACATCAAACCGTTGCAAGAGAAAAGATCCTTCCACTAGACCAGATTTAATATTCAAATGAAGTATCTATATCCGAACGATTAAGAAAGAAAAGTGGCAAAAAAGAAGCAGAAGAACAAGACTTGCAGAAAATGAATAGAATAGATCAAATGAAATCGTTATAATATCAACACACATAATCTCCCAATGAAACTATGACTTCAACAGATGGCATTGTACCCAGAGGTAAAAAGCTAAAACCTTTTCATAAAATATCTGTTCAGGACTTACATCAAACAGGTGGTGTGCACCCATTTAAATCATTTTACTGTACACCTAAAACCCTAGAGAGAAAAAAAACATTTGTTTCTTCTAGAAAACACCTAATTCACGAAAACCCATTACCAGGAGACTAATTATTTCACAAGAGACGATTTCAAGATCGATATTTTTGAATTTAAATGCTAAAAAAAAGTAAACAGATAGAACAAAATTAGTACCTGCCAAACGCGACGGAGGCGTTTCTTGGCATTGGCTTTGCGGGTAGGGGTGAGCTTAATTCTTTTCCAGACAAGACCACCGGAATCGTGTTTCTTCACTATCTCCATTACCCTGGTTCCCCAGAACGCACCCCATGCCGTCGACATTATTTTCTTTGTTACCAACAAATGAAAATTTTGGTCCGTTGATTACAACTTTTAGAGAAGATGGTCGGGGAGCTTTTGCTGGGTTTTGTATGGGCTGTTTGTTTGGGTTTGGGATCTGAATTTTGGGCCGAGTCCAACTTTGCTTCTTATAATTTCAATTCGGCAAAATGAGTTTTTTAGTCACGTAAGAGTGCTAGTTGGGAGTTTTAGTCCATTATGTTTTAAAATTAGAATTTTAGTCCTGTAAATTTCAAAAGTTGAGAATTTTGGTCCTATGACCTGCTATAACAGGTTAGACAATGGTTGGTTGAATGAGTTGGCATTAAATTTATAAAAAAAATATAAATTAAAAATAAACTAGATGATGTGGCTGATGAGTTGGACGATTTTGGAGGGAAATAAAATATACCATCAAATTATTATTTTATTTGATGAATGAAAAAAGCATTTTTGTAGTAACTATTTTTTTATTTAATATTTCATAGTTTTCAATGATAAAAATAGTAATTAACTATATTTTATTACTCGTTATGTTTATTTGTTACTCTTCTAATGATAAGGTATTTTATGTTTGGATGCTCTAGAATGTTTTTTTGGTACATTTAATTTAATAGAATTTTGAATGTATTTTATTATTATTTTTTTTAATTCGTAAATGTGTTTTTGGTTTTTTTATACTAATTATGAATGTGCATATCATTTAACTTTACAACAAGTTTTAATGTAAGGTTTTTTTTTCTCGTATTTTTGTTGAATTTGATTGTTGGTTCAATTTTATTGTGATCACTAAGTATAGATTTGAAGTGAAATATTTAAATAAATATGAATTTAATTACTATTTTTACCAAATAAAAACTAAGAAATATTAATTAAACATTAGTTATACTTATTTATTTCATAAAAAATATAATGGTATTGGGGCAGAAAAAAAAATTGTTCGAAAAAAAAAAGGTCAAAACATTTTTTTGTGATCGGAATTGATGAAATTGGGGTTGAATTATGATTACAATTAGGGTTTAAGAGATTAAAAATAATTTTTTCATAAACATTAAATTTACTTTTGAAATAATATATGTTGAAGGATGCAAAAAAGAGATAAAACAGTAAAGGTAGATTAAAGATTGTTGATCAATTAGTACCTTGTCAAAAAAACTCCAATATTTAAAGGGTTTTCAATTTTTTTTTTGGGTCCATTTGATATACACCCCTAGAATGGAAAATATATAGGGATAAGTCCACCCCTAAAATTCTTCCTTTGAGATACACCCCTGGAGAGGCAAAAATACTATTGTACCCTTAAATTTTCGCCCAACTGCATCAGTAATATCGCCCCTGCATTCAGCATAATGCCCAACTGCATTTAGAATTCTGGACCTGCATTCAGCATAATGCCCAACTGCATTAACCATTCTGGGCCTGCATTTATCAGCTTTACAGATTTTTTTATTAAAAAAATATAAATGTTTATTTTATTATTATTTTTTATATATACAGTTGTATTTTTTAATTTTTATTATTTTTTTAATTTTTTAATTTTTTAATTTTGTTTTAATTTTTAGTTTTTTAATTTTTTTTAATTTTTTAATTTTTTAATTTTTTTAATTTTTTAATTTTTTAATTTGTTTTAAATTTTTTCAATGTTTTGATAAATTTACTGTACTGAAATAAATTGACTACACATGACTATAGTATACGACAGTCATGTATAGTTATATGTAGTCATGTACTATTTTTTATCCCAAAATTATGGTCGACCGATTATGTAACCCGTTGATTATATAAAAAAACTTCATTTATACCAACAAATAAATTTACAATTTGAATCTTGTTATTATAAATCAATTAGTGCCCAACAAAAAAATCAAAAAACACAATCATTAACACCATCATCAGTATACATCAGAAGAAACGCATATCTTTTATATAAAAATATATAATTACATGCTACTAAACGTGACTATATATAATTACATGTATATGACCATATGTGACTATATATGACTACATGTATATGACTATATGTGACTATATATGACTACATGTGACTATATATGACTACATGTATATGACTATATGTGACTATATATGACTACATGTATATGACTATATGTGACTATATATGACTACATGTATATGACTATATGTGACTATATATAACTACATGTGACTAACTATATGAGTATAGTCATGTATAGTATAATTTGAATTTATAGCTTCAAATCTCACTTTTCAACCCGACAACTCCGATCTATCGAAACTAGAACACTAAAAGCAGGCTCGGTTCGATCCCGTGTGACTATATATGACTTGATAACGCAAATCTCTCCTACACTGAAACAAGTACAGCCAAGTTCCGATCTGGAAAAATATTCTGCAATTGCATTACCCGTGCTCTTACTGGAAAAAAAAGAACCAATCATAAATAAAAATTCATGACAAAGATCGTAAAAAAAATTATTTAAACGAAACAAGAATTCACACCAACCTATGGCAAAAACTATTAAACCTTTCCATCAAAAGAAATGCCTTCTATACTAATTTTATCTATTTCTTTCTCTCTCCGTAACACGGATTCTTCATCATCCTGTACAGCAAAATAAAAATTCATATGTCACATACACTTTGTATAACATATAAATTTGAAAACACTGTCTTACCTAGCACAAATATTTTACATATGATTGTATAGTCATGTATAGTTATATGTAGACATGACTATACATGATTACATATGACTGTATAGTCATGTATAGTTATATGTAGCAATGACTATACATGATTACATATGGCTGTATACATGATTATATGTATACGACTAAATCTAACTGTATATTCACATGACTCAAATCACCCATCTAAATAACCACTACGGATTAAATTTCCACTACAGACAAACAAAACTCTCACACTTGAGGCATTTCGAATCATCTTCAAATAAATACAAAAAATAAATTACATATGATTTATAATAAAAAATCAAATTAATCCAAAGAATTTTTTTTAATATTAATTGTTCACATATCTTCAAAACATAGTAGATTTGGTTTTTTTTTTTTTTATTAATGCAGTAAATATATACAAATCAAACACCACCGGTTCCAGATCTGAAATTCACCATTAGATCTGACTACATATAGTCATACCACGATTTAAAATTTTCGAAATCAGTTGATTTTCATAGAAAAAACAATAAAAAAAGTCGAAATCAGTTCAGAACTTCAAAAAATAAATTATAATCGATAGGCATTCATAAATTAAAAAAATACCTTAAAAAGCTGAAGTGGATGGCGGTGGGAGGAGCAACGACGGCCGGCACAAGGCCGTGGCGGAGCAACGACAGCGAAATAGCACGGTGGCGGAGCGACGGCAGCGAAATATCACGGTGGGGAGCAGCAGACCAGCGGCGTGGTGAAGGGAGGTGAGAGAGAGAAGAGAACGAGAGTTTTGAGAGAGAGAAGAGAACGAGAGAATTTTGAGAGAGAAAGAAAAGAAAACGCTGAAGAAGAAAGAGGAAAAGAAAACGCTGAAGGAGGGAGAAAGAAGAGAAGAAAAACGGCTGGGAGAGAAAAGAATGAGAGAGTTAGGGTTTTAAATTGTAATTAAAAGGGCAAAACGGGTATTTTAATTTGTCTAGGGGGGTCTATCAAATTAAGATTATAATTTGGGTTTTTGACTAGGGAAGAAATATCTATAGGACCTATCCATATATATTTTCAAAACTAGGGGGTTATCCCACATTTCCCCTTTTTTTTTTCAATTAATTCAACCTTACCTCAATGATAAGTTACGTACCCTAATATATATATATATATATCTTACTATAGAAGAAAGAGAAGCCAATAATATGAATTGGATAAATGTGCCGAGTTATGGATAAATTCCACGTGGACTTTCTAAGTTGGCAATTGCCATTTGGCAGGGCCGGCCGCAAAAAACGTCGGCTTCTCGTGGGCTTACCAATTATTAATGATGGATTTCACATGGCTTTTTCTCTGGACCTATTCTCCTTCATCATTTATTAAATCAATAATATAATTAACTCCAATTTAATTAAGAATTTGTTTTTTCTTTCTGTATATCAACTTGAAGCAATCAATATATATAAATTATAAATTCCAGCATTCCAAGGCTGAAGTTTGCATTTCCAACGTTACGTTATCTCAACCCCACAATTTTCTGTGTTCCAGTTTTCCTTTAGAATGTGCATGCACTTATACATTGTACTATAATTAGTATAATCCTATATATGCAGCTCTCTGTGACTTCTTCATAGTGTGTACGTTCTAAATTGTAATAGAATTCAGAGAGAGCTGAGAGAGAGAGAGAGAGAGAGAGAGAGAGTATATTCCATATTGCATGATGGTTGAAGGAGATATAGTTGAGTGAGAGGGGAAGGCGTTTTGGGCGTGCAAAGCGTGGCACTATCAATAAGTTATGCCAATATTTGTTTTTCCTAATTTTCCTATATACTACTTTGCAACTTGTCACACACACACAAATCATTATAATCAATATTTGTATAACATGGTGTTGAATTGATAGTGCCACGCTGTGTGCGACCGAAACTCTTTCTCTATGTAAGTCTTAACATATTCAGCTCTCTTATATTACTCTCTTATATTACTTGCGTGTTCCGATCCTTTCGGCGGTTTACTTATGTATGAGGTCGGATCTGGCGACGATGGTAGTACTTATTGTATTTTAACAGTTAAGATTTTTAATTATTTATAATTAATCATTGTTGTTTCCGTATAGTTGTCGTCCGTATAATTTTTTTCTATATAATTAATGTGATTAAGAACTAATAGAAAAAATCGGGGGTTCAGGGCGACGATGCCCTAGTTATATTGTTGTTAGAGGTATTCACACATTATTTTGTTAAAGGGAGAGCATTTCGATTTTCGACTTTCTTCTTTAATTTGTTGTTTTCTTTCTACGGGGGAGGCCACCGTTGCATCTACATAGATTCGGCATGGTAAGTCTAATTTTTGTTTGTTAGTCGACGATTATATTAAATATCAGTAGATTCTAATAATGATAGCTTCAGCTTCTTCATGTGGTTCATATTGTACAAAATATGAACCACATCCGATAAAGATTGCATTGGGTGGATTTTTATCATTGATCTACACATTAATATGGATGTGTGGGTATTTATGTGAATATGAATGTCAAAGATCTACTCGATGTTTTTGATCCGGTGTAGCATACAGAATGAAAGTGCTAATATGAAGGTTTTTAGGTGTTTGTCATTGTCACTATCGATAAGAATTTTATCTCTTTTAAGAGACGTGCTATTTCCACCAAATATCTTATTTCACCACCAAATTAAATATGTTTCTCATTTTACCCCTTTCTTCTTCTTTTACCTATATTTTTTTACAAGTTTATAAATCATCTACCACTAAACTAATTAAAATATTTATAAAAAAAAACCCACCATTTTCATTGGAAATCTAACCCTCTCCACCTTAAGTGAGTAATACTTTCGTCAGAGAAAAATATTTTCAAAGGTCAAAAAAAGCAGGAATTCACGTCTTTTGAGAAATAAATTAAGATTGTTTGTACGAAAGGTTCTGAACATCCTCCAGAATTGGCCAGTTTCGCTTAATATAATTTCGTTTCCAAAAGAAAAATTACATAATTTGTAGATCATCTGGTATGGAAGTTTAAATATTTTGTAATAAATATTTTATTGTAAAAAATAAATAAAAAATAATTAAAAAAATAAAATAAAATAGAAATAACTTAGAATACATGAGGATTAAGTGAATATAACGAAGTGTGGTGGATTATAAATTAGAGGGGTATTTAAGACATTTTATATTTAGTGGTGAATTGAGATACTTTGGAGGTGGAGGTGGAAATAGCACCACTCTCTTTTAATTGTAGTTTTTTTTAGGGGATCTTTGAGAAAACCCCCTCATTACTTCTTTTAATGGAGAAGGCCCCAAAATATTTCTCTTCATTTGAGAAAAGCCTACACCCATTTCGAGATATTATTTTTTTCAATTTTGTCCCCGCCTACCACATCATCATTGCGTCACACGTTGGTCAACAGCGATTTTTTTTATTTTTTTTCTCCCTTTTTTTTCCCTTTTTTTGTTCTGTATCAGTTTTATTAATCGACTATGACGCATAGTCGATTAACCTTAATCGACTATGCTTCATAGTTGATTAAGGAAATTCTTTTTTTTTTCAATTTTTATTTCTATATTAGGTATATTAATCGACTATGATGAAGCATAGTCGATTAAGAATCTGTTACTAAAAATAACAAATTACAACTGCAAAAAAATGCAAAATCAACTATATTTTAGAAAAACAAAAATATAAAAACATTATAATTAATTTATACAATTGGAATACATAAACGAAAAATTCAAAAAAAAAATTGGAGTCCATCAACCTTAATCGACTACCAGAGATTAGTCGATTAGTTTAATCGACAATTGTGAAGCATAGTCGATTAAGAATCTGCTACTAAAAATAACAAATCACAACTGCAAAAAAATGCAATCAACTATATTTTACAAAAACAAAAAATATACAAACATTATAATTGATTTATACAACTGAAATCAATAAACAAAAAATCCAAAATAAAAATAAAAAATTGGAGTGGATCAACCTTAATCGACTACCAGAGCATAGTCGATTAGCTTAATCGACTATTGAACATGTACATAGTCGATTAAGGTTCCAGCATGCGCGAATTTCTCTATACACGCCGTCCTCCGCCCGATCCACCCAAAAACCCTTAATATGCCTCCCCATCGTCACCATACCGCCGTCACACCACACTATTCAACCAATCCCTAACAAGAATAAAATAAATAAAATAAATAATTCATACAAATAAAACACAAATTAGCATTTCAATGTCCACAAAAAAAAATAGAAACGATTCAAGGTATTTGTCAACCATTGCTGGTCACTCCATAAACAATTTCTGAACACATGACCAAACCAACACTAGAAAAATAATAAATAAAAAAACAAAAAGAAAAAAAAACAAAAAAACAAAAACAAATACATTCATCAACATCAATCGCAACAGTGATTTTCTCATACCTCATCCTCGTAGCCGTCAACCCACTGTGTCCTCGACGACGAGCGCCACTCATCAGCTTCGACGTCGTTGGTGGAAACCACCACCGTCAACTGCAGATCCGTCACCACCCTTCACGCGGCGGCGAGAGGCGACGACAAACTCTTCCACCACCACCACCATCGGTCGCCGTCAATTTCCAGAGTGGCTGTCTGATCTCCTTCTCCGACAACGTCTTGCTTTTCCTCCGAGTTTCAGTCGAGAAGAGAAGTGACAAGAGAGAAGATGAGAAGGTGAGAAGATGAGAAAAGGAGAAGAGAGAAACGGCAAATGAAATGGGTTAGGATTTTGAAACGTGAAAATGAGATTTAATATTAATAAGGGTGGTTTGGAAATTATTAAAATAGCATTTGAGAGGGATATTTGATAAGGGGGTTTTCTCTAATTTTTTTTGGGAAGGGGTGTTTCCTTAACTCATTTTTCTAGATGAGGGGATACGGTTCTTGCTAATTTCCCCCCTTTTTTATGTAATACATATTTATATACAAAATGAAGTACATATTTATATAAAATAGTATTTAAAAAAATATTTGGACAAATATAAAATAAAAATAACAAGAACTAAAACTAATAAAATACGATAAAAAAATAGAAAATAAATAATTTAAAATTGTAAGGGGATGAGTCATAAAAAAAAAAAGGAATTAAATTGAACACTATAACTTTAGGGTTTATTAGGGACACCCCCTCAAAACACAATTGTCAATAGTGCAGGCTCAAACTATGTTTACCATTTTTTTAATATTCCTCATATAGTTTTTTTAACTTAACATAACCCATAAATCTATAACAAACTCAATTATGCCCTTATTGGATAAATTGTCAAACCCGATTAGGGTTTCTCTCACTCTCACTCTCTATCTCTCGATCTCTCATTCTCTCATTCTCGATCTCTCTCTATCTCTCTCTACCTCTATCTTTTTTCTCTCCTCCACCACCGTCCTTCGCCACCGCTCCTCCATCGTCGCCGACGCCCTTATATCCGCTCCTTACAAAAAAACTAGAGCGATCATTCGTTGTGGGCCTAGTATGATTTGATGGAGAATTTCAGTTCATAAATTGGTTTTATGTAACTTCAGTCAAAGGTAAGAATATAATCCCACCATTGTTGGAGTTTCGAATTTCGTTGATTCAAATCGTTGAATATTTTGTGGATAAAAGTTGGACATTGAAGATAAATGTGATTCAACAAAATATTGGTTCCGGCAACGATGATTTCGCGTAACGGCTCTAGGATTTGGTATTGGTTGCTATCTAGGGTTTGGTTGCGGCCCTTCTCTTACGATTTAGTCGCGCGGTACAAGATACAATTATTCTTTTGTAGTTGATTTCGGTGATTGTAGTTGATTTCGCTATTTTTGTAGTAGATTTCGATAATACTGTAGTTGATATTTGATATATCGTAGATGGTTTTGATGAATTTGTAATTGTT